AATAATATAATCATTTAAATTACTGTATATTATTTGGGGAAATTTTAGTTTGTTAAAGTTTAAAGTTATGATGCAAAAATTTATTATTATACATACTAGAAAAAATCTATTTTGAAATTATTTATTTATTTATATAAGCTGTGAGATAATACAAACGTGTTATAACGATACCACTCAAAGTGCCCATGCAGAGTGAATGTCATTGTTTTATAAGCATAAAATCTGTATATGTGATTATTAGTTTATCGATCTATAAACCAAGAGTATGAACCTTGCCAAATGTATTATGAGATGTTAAAAGCTGTAACTAACATGCTTTACACAATTGATGTGTATGTTAAAAATTAGCAGCTAATATTTCGTGATACTTTTTTCAGTCACTTTATAGTGTACTGTAATTTTTTTAAATGGGATGTTCTAAAAGTGAGAAATGAATTGGAGATTTAATGTTTTATAAATATATTACTATCTACGATTGTAATTTTGCGAGATAAAAGGGAACGGGGAGAGGATGATTATAAAATGTTTTTTCATAATCCAAAGGATCGCTTCTTCTGATTATAATATTGTTATAATTATTAAATGATCGTAGATAATTCATATTTGAACGCTTTTATCAATAAAAAAATCATTTCATATGGCTTTCGTTGGCAATAAAAAAGAAATAAGTAATGATAGAAGAAAAAAGACGTAAGTGAAAGTACTAAAAAAACATGAGATGTTGACAAATTGATTTTTGTAATTCTGTAATTTTTATTTACTACTTATGAACAAGGGATCTACATTTTCTGTTATATGATAGAATAATCATACTCTATATGTAGAATAATCATAAAATTGTCTTTTCGATAATATATTTCATTGTTTTTACAATCCTTTTGTTTGTAATTTTGCATCTACTTTATAATGTTTATGTGTGCGATCCCTTGGAAATAATCTAAAAATGCTGCTGCCATGTTTTATGCGTCATGACATCCACGCCAAAGGTTTAATTAGATTGAGATCGAGCTTGAAAGCAAGGTTCAAAGAAGACTTTAAAAAATGATGTTCACGTTTCATTCTTTCCATATGTGTCGCGGGTGCTCATAATTGTGTAACTAATTGATAAAATTCTTAAATAGACTTTGTGTAGTTATAAATCTTAAACATATTAGAGTAAGCAATGCTTATATCAAACAAAATCTACGGATAAAATGAACGGATCGGTAGGAAAAATCTATGTGAAGTTCCTTCCAATCTCTTTATATCCGATGTCAATTGGATGATGTCAGTGATGAAAAGATGATCATAATATAAAATTGATTTTTATCTTTTGGCGTATATGTTATAAGCAAAGGGTTGAGCAATGTGTTGGAAATATGTCTCAGGCAAAGTCTGTATGAAGACAGTGCAATGTAAAGGGATCTACTTTTACACTAATATGGACTTAATCAATAAACGAGCTTTTCGTCTTAGATGTAGCCGTTGTTGGAGAGACATGGGCAGCTCTTTGCTGTATATGCATATACATATACGTTATGTGTATGTGTATTTGTACATATACGTGCATATCTTATAAGAAGCATTATATTCAAAGACTCATATTGGAGTGATTTATCGCTTCATTTTTAAGGTCATTGTAAATGTATATTATTTCTAGCGTTGTGCCTCGTAATTACTTCTATTTGAATTTTGAAGATTATTAATTATAGGAAATTCGAAAATGTTTCAATCGAACTGCCGGTAAATTTATTTAAGAAAAGAGTTCAATTTTCCTATACATTTTCGAATTTCTTTTCATTTGTTCTTCAAAGTCATTTAGAAGTGAATTCGTTTTAGTTTGTTTCCTTTTTCTCGACATTGTTTGAGCACCGTTCCGGAAACAAGCGAAAAAATTGTTATTCAGTTGTAAATATTAAATATAGCGTAAATTCGTAATGATAACGATAAACAATAGCCTTAGGGGTATTGCTAATATTATCATTAATATCGATTACTATGCGATAGCTTTAATAATATTTATCATATGATCGGCAATTATAATAAAACTACAAGGACTGCATTTGACTCTACTTTCCTGACCAGTTTGGTAATGCAGGGTCATGTTTCTGAAAGTTCTAAAAGTTCCATTCAAACGAAATGTATAATACAATATTAAGGAGTATCTTTGTACGTTAATAATTTAATTGCATCATTTGTTTTTAAAGTTTTTAAAAAATGAAATTCTTTTTTACAGCAATATTCTATTGATTGATTTCTTGATGGATCTTCGTACAAAGGTAACTCTAAGAAAACATAGAAGAAAGTAACATGCTGAAGATGCCATATTTAGGAATACTTTATTGATAAGAAAATAATAGTTAATGATGAACATCGAGTCATTTTGTACAGGCACCGTCATCTTTATTTCTGTTCTTTTAGTAAAATATTTCCAATTTATACTCAAGAGCTGTTCTTAGTCGTGATAAAAAAATCTATGTTTGTTTATATTGGATTGATAATGTGTTATTTGTTTGATTACTTGCAAGATTTTGTCAGTATAATTGATATTGTTTTATCTTGCATAAAACTAACTGTATTCGTGAGATATTTTGAGGTCAGCAATTAAGTTTTCCCATATATATAGGGAGTTTTCCCTTTTTCAGAAAGAGTTAATCTTGTTAGTAATCTATGTTGTATTTTATACTGAAAATATATTTTTTATTTATACGGTCCATGCAATATATTGTGCACAGCTTGAAAAAGAAATAAATGATTTTATTAAAGTTTGGTATTATTTATAACTTAAAGTTGTAAAATAATATTTTTTGTATGTAAATTTTTTGAGATTGTAAACGAATAGGAAAAGATATGAATAGTATGTCTTTCATAATGAAATTTAAGATTTTGTGTTATTAATAATCTTTTTGTCAATCGATGACTTCCGTCTTTCTTTAATGAAATGTGTAATTCATATGTACTTGCTGCCAAAAGAAGTTTCCAATGATGTTGCCATTATGCAAAACCGACTGTTGTGTATAGAAATAGAAAACGTAGCTTATAGGGCGCTAAAATTAATCGATTAATAGTAAAAATAAATTAATCCGTTTTTATATTAATAAATTGATAGTTGTCTAGAATAATCAGATAAGTTAAACAAATATCAATATTTATTATTCATTAATCGATTAATCTTCAGCCTTGATAGGTGAAATCGCGAGGAATCACTTCTGTATCATATCTTTTTCACAGTAATAGTAGTTCGTACGCTAATTATACAGGTGCATAGGGACGCGTACGTGTCAAACACAGGGCACCAAGAAATTTTCTACGAGCCATTTTTTTTATTCTGATGCACATTAATCGCAACATGATGTACTTTTTTTCAAAAAAATGTATCATCATATTCTACTTGCATGAACACTGAAAAGCCGTGATATGATACGAAAATGTATGCTCACGGCAAGGCGAGAAATGGTGCTGTTATTTTTTGCGAACATAAGAAGCTTGTATATTTTTGCGTCTCTTGTTTGTAAGATAATTATTTACAAATAAAATTACAAAGAAAAAAATATTGTTATATCGTCAGTAATCACCTTTTGTATATAAATTATTTATATATTTTTCATAACATGTATAAAAAAATTTTACAAATCGCTTTAGATATTCATTGTGATATTTACATGTTTTATTTTTATGCATTCGATTTGTACACTTTGTATAAAATTCATTGTATAATCAATAAGAAAAAAATTAATTTCTTTATCTTACTCTTATTTCTTATTGTCTAAATAATTTATAAAAATATATTCTATTATATTGGCATTTACATTTCCATTTACATTGATTAATTTCATCCATAATCACAGATAAACAATATGTGAAACCTTTAAAAAGTTTAGATTTTTGTATTTTTTCTTACTTAATTTTTTAATATTTATCAATAAATATATATATAATATTTATCAATAAATATAATTAATTGAAGTAAATCAATATAATAATTTTAACATAATTTAATTTAATATAGTAATTTTAACATTTAATTTTGATATTATGGAAAAAATTAAAAACAAGAATACATAATTAGAAAATTTATGCAAGATACTAATTATAAAATTAATACAGTTTTCAATGTTATCTATGATAACAATATTTCTATATCTGTGATTATGAATTAATAATGTATAATAATTTAAGGCACCATAAAAAAAAATTAAAATATAATAAAATAATTTTATATAATACTTATATGTTATTTCAATGTATATTGAATTAATTTATATTTTTATGGCTTATATAGAACTATATTTCTCTTGAAAATAAACGAACTTTTTTTATAATATTTTAGTATATATATTATAAAAAAAATGACAGAATG